TATCCTGTGTCTAATCCCTGCCCTGTGCTCCACCTTCCCCTCCCTCCCCTCACCAACCTCCAACATCCCAATAATCAACAAAGAATTCCCCCACCCCCCTTTAGTATGGGTTCTTTCCCTTAGACTTTTACAGTAGTGATCCTATGCAGTATTTCTCTTTTTGTGACTGACTAATTTCACTCAGCATAATGTCCTCAAGGTCATAACCACCTTTTATGAAGCACCAAACATGAACCTTCTTTTCTTCTAAGTGTCTTCATGGATTATTCCCTTTAATCCCCATAAGAACTCTGTGAGGTTAGGGACTATGGTTATTTGTCATTTTGCAGAGGAGAAAACTGGGCCATAGAGATTGGTGGGAGGTGGGAGATGTTAAGTGCTGTTGAGTTGATTCTGACACATAGTGACCCTGTATAGGGTTTCTAAGAGCAGCTGGTAGATTTGAACCACTGATCTTGTGGTTAACAGTCCAGTGCTTATCTTACAATGCCACACCCGAAGTCCTAGTGGGAGACATGGGACATAAACCCCTAGCTACGGCACTAGAGCCAGGTTTCCAAAGAGAGGGGAGAGTTACAGAGAGGTGAACAAAGGATGATGAAACAAATGTGTATTTAGAGTAGCGCTAACATCTACACTTAGCAGTCTGATTTATTGAAGAATTTAAGTCTGATCTCATTGATGATCATACACACATACAAACTATATACAAGAATGCAGATTTCAACGTATCAGTATAATTATAAATGCAAGAACCTAATGAGGTCTGGTGGTGGCTGTGTGCCGTGGAGTCGGTTTGGACTCATAGTGACCCTGCATAGGGTTTCCAAGGCTGTAAATCTTTACGGGAGCAGAACCCCTCATCTTTCTCTCGCGGAACAGGTGGTAGTTTTGAACTGCTGACCTTGCGGGTCGTAGCCCGATTCATAACCACTACACTACCAAACTCAAAATGGATCTGTAGTCCAAGAGTGAGGCCTGTGTACCCAGAATGGGCTTGTACCCCAGGAGTGAGATCTGTATACTCAGAATGAGCCATACCCCAGGAATGAGGACTGTGTATTCAGAATGGGCCTGTACCCTGGAGTGAAGTTTATATGCTCAGAATGAGCCTCGAAGAGCAGGTACTCAGATAATCAGACAACACTGACAAGGACCCCTTCCCCAGCAAGCAGTGTTGCTATGGAGACGGAGACTTGGCAGCGAGGAGGCGAGATGCGTTTGCGCAGGCGCAGGCTATGCTATCTCGTCGCAGCGGAACTGCTGCGATTTTCGCGGTGAAGCGCGCACAGTTGCTGCAGGAGCCGTGGGCCAGCGGCAGCTCGCTTCTCCCCGGCCCCCTGCGCACTTCCAGGTTTCCGTAGCACCACCCTCACCTTGCACTGGGCAGAGCCGAGGAGCGAACCCAACGTGCCTGTAGCGGTGACAAAGGCAAGCGGAAGAGAGAGTGTCGCTGCTCCCCAGGGACTCCGCTCGCAGCCAGGTGGTTGCTGCTTCCCTGGGGCCCAACAAGAGCGCAGACACGTAAGCCCCCGAGGGTCCCCGTTAGCCGGGGGAGGGACTCCGGGAGAGGCCGAGGGCCCTGGACGCCCCAGCCTGGCCCCGGTCCTGACCACCTGTATCTCCACTCTCAGCCTGCAGGTGGCGCTCCGGTTAGCATCTGGAGTGAGCTGCTCTCGAGTCGGCCTGCCGGCTCCTTCTGCCCCGATCTGCGCCAAGCGAGGCCACCATGGCCCTGAGCCTCCTGGAGGACTGGTGTCGCGGGCTGGGCGTGGACGTGCGCCGGGCCCTGCTGGTCACCGGCATCCCCGAGAGTTTGGAGCAGGCTGCCGTCGAGGCGGTCCTGCAGCCAGCCTTCCTGACCCTGGGCTCCTTCACGCTGCGCAGCATGAGGGTCGTTAAGAAGGAGAAGGCCAAAGCCGCCCTGGTAGAGTTTGTGGAGAACGTTGACCACGCAGCCATCCCCAGGGAGATCCCGGGCCATAGCGGGGTCTGGAGGGTGCTATGTAAGGACCGTGCCAAGGACTCCAGAATGCTGAGGCAGATGAAGCGCTTGCTACTGGACGAGAGGCCCACTCGGGCCCAAGTGGCCAAGGCCCCCGGGGACACCCAGACCCAGGAGTCGGACCAGGAGACCAGGCAAGCCGGGTCCCCGCTAGGTGCAGACGGGAAGGCTAGGAGGGGCCGGAGGGGCCGCGGAAGTAGAGCCAGAGGCAACAGGTTGACCAAGAAAGGCAAGAAGAGGGGCAGAGGAGGGTGGCCATCCACTCCAGTGAGGAGTGAGTCCGAGGACTCCTCTGACGAGAGTCTGGGCATCTTCATCGAGGAGATAGAGGAGGATGAAGATGAAGACCGAAGGGCGCTGTACACCACGCTCCAGGCTGCAGCCAAGGAACTCATTAAGAAGTGGGCTGTCCAGAATGATGCCCAAGAGGGCGATGGGCCACGAGAGTTCTTGGCCCTGGTAACGGTGACGGACAAAGCCAAGAAGGAAGAGATGGAGAAAGAGCCTCCGTCGGGTGAGTCCATCAGCCTGGACATCAAAGAAGACAGGAATGGCGTCCCTGACTTAGTGGCACTTCTTGCCGTGAGAGAAACATCGCATGAGGAACCCATGGGCAGTGATACTTCCGGTAGTGAGTCCCAGGACAACGGGGACCAAGAAAACGAGGAAGCGGACAATCCTGAGTTTGTGGCCATTGTAGCATATACTGACCCCTCAGACCCTTCTGCGCGAGAGGAGATGTTGAAAATCGCATCTGTGATTGAGTCTCTGGGCTGGAGTGACAATGACAAAGAGGAGGCCCTTCCCCGGGTCTTGTCAGTCATGTCTAAAGACACAAGTGGCACCCGAGTCAAGGTGGAGGAGGCGGGTCGTGAGGTGGATGCCATGGTTCTGAGGAAGGCCAAAGACGATGGGAACCTTCTAGAATGCATCTCTACCTTGGCGGAGCCAGGGACTCCTCCCAAGGGGAAGAAAGCCCAGCATAGCTTCCTCAGCGGCTGGGGTGATGATGATGAAGATGAAGGGGGCCTTCTGGAACTGGTAGCGCTTCTGGCTGCACAGGATATGGCGAAGGTGATGAAGGAGGAGAAAGAAAACGCCTGGGAATGTGGGAAGTATAAATATGCCAAAGGCAACTTGGGTGAGGTCTTGGCGCTCCTGGCTGCCCGGGAGATCCTGGACTCGGAGGAGGAGTCAGATGAGGAGTCCGAGGAGCATGAAGAGTCTGAGGAGTCTGAGGACACGGAGAGCGAAGAGTCTGCGCCGGAGGAGACGGCGTCCAGGAAGCCGCGGGCCAAGAGGGCTCGCACAGCTGCCCGGAGCTTGGGCCAGGCTGGCACATCCACGCCCGCAATCCCCACCCCCGCAGGGCCTCGAAAACCCCGAGCTGTGGGCCGGGGCCGTGGTCGGGCTTCCACTCCCGACAAGAAGACTGGAGGCCGGGCCTCGGCCCAGGACGATGGCTCAGGGAGCAAGAAGAAGAAGGTGAATCCAGGCTCTAGGTCCCACACAAAGGCGGGCGACACCACCAAGGCTCAGCTGCCCCCTGGCGCAAGGTCCGCCCGTGGGAAGAAGGCACGTCGGGGCCGCAGGCTGCCCCCCAAGTGCCGCTAGTGGAAGCCAAAGCCACAGGACCTGAGCAGGTCCCTCACTGTGCCCCTTCTTCCCTCACCCCCTCTTGTGTAGCCTAGTGTCTTCTAGCTTCCTGCATCCTGCTCTGCGCTCGCTCCTGAGCTTGTGTGGCTGGTGCTCACCTGTACCTTTGAATCCCCCATTTGCACATGAAAGAGAGTGGATTCCAGAAGGAAAGGAGCAAAGGGCCCCTGAGGCTGTGGTCCCTAGACCAGTCTCCCACGTGATGTGAGGGTATCTTAGGTCACAGGCAAGGCTGTGCCCTCCTCCCCCTCATGGCAGAGGGTGAGTGTGTCCTAAGGCACCAGCCGCCTGTGGGCAGCCAGTACAGTGAGTTCCTTGTGGCTTTGCAGGTGCCTGTTGTTTCTAAGACACAGGCTGCTGGCAAGATTGTGAGGACACACCCCCCCCTTCTGTGCCAGTGGGCATTTGGTATCAGGGTGTTGCTGAACACTGAATGCCAGACCCCTAGCCTAGGATGAAATGATTCAAGAAAGAGGAGAGAGGGAGATGGGGAGGGGAGAGGAGAGGAGGAAGAATGGGGTGGAGGGGCCCTGGGTGAGGAGGAGTCCAGGTGGGGTGCGGAAGGAGAGGAGGAGGAGGCTACAAGGAAGAAGAGGAGGAAGAATCCTGATGTTCACAAATGAACTCTCCTCCCAGCCAAGGACTTTGCTGGGTGTACCCAGGCTGAATTTGGTGCCCATACTAACTGCACAGCATTTCCCTAAATGTCATGTTTGCCAACATTTTCAGTAGGTCCTGGTCATTCACACAAACCCAGATGTCCAAGCCTATTTCTTTCACAGGCCAAGGTCCCTCTGGGTCCCCTAGTGTTCCCAATCTCCTGTGGGCCGCTGACCCTGCTGCATTACCTTTGCCTCCCCCTTAGGACGATGAGGGTCCCCTGAGTGAGTGACCCAGGAGGCACTGTGCAGGCAGAACCTCGGATTACAGCTCACTATGGTATTTGTCCTTGGGGAGATAGTGTCCCGTGGGATGAACAGCCCGTGTGCAACATTATCAGCCCCGTGTCAAGCTTGGGGTCCTCTCAGTGGAGATCCCAGTTTCTATCCTGTCTGGAGGCCCTTCTGATAATCCTATGGAATGAGCAGGGGCCTTGTGAGTTCTGGGACCCCAAACCAGACCGTCTGGGCAGAGCAGGACACTGACTGAGCCAGCTCTCCAGGTGCTGGAGGAGGGGTGGTTGGCCAAGGGCAGGGAAGACCCCATGTGACTCTTTGTAGCCCTTATAGATTCCTCTGTGTACCATGTCATCTCAGATTCTTCAGTAAAGTGGAATTCACCATTGAGGGCTTGCTTCACTGTCTGGGGGGTCAGGGTTATGGAGGGAGCATGGGCGGTTGGACAACGGATGTCTCCAGCAGGGCTGATTTGGGCCAGAAGGCCAGGAACTGCCAGTCACTTAGTCATACCCAGCATCCATTGCTGCTTCAGTACTTGTGCCCACCGAGTAACCCTGGCCCCATCCCCTCCTGGGGTCCCTGTGAATTTGGTTAGCATCCCAGCACTTAACCACTGTAGCATCAGGCCTCCAAATCCAGCCCAGCCCTCTTAATAGGCTCAATATAACTGGTTACTTTGGCCCCTAGTGCCTTGGCTGAACCCCCACCCAGATGACCTGGGCCAAGCCTAGGCTTCCACCCCATCCCATCTCTCTCAGCCCCAACCTTGACCTTCTACCCAATTGCCCAGACTCTCATCTCCCTGATCCCAGCCTCCTTTCCCAACTTCCTTCCAATGAGGCACTTCTGGGCCTCCAGCGGGCATTCCTTATCCTGGCCTCTGGCTTACCTCCATCTCCTCAACTTAAGTCTGGTCTCTCCTCCAGTCTTCTGTCCTAGGCTCTACCCAATGGTATCTCACCAGGCCCCAGCTGGTGGGTTTGAACCCACCCACCTTATGGTTAGCAGTCTGATGCTTAACCCATTGTGTCTCCTGGACTCAGGCACTCGTTAAAGGTGTGTGTGTATTCCTGCGCAAGAGCAAGGATGAAGCAGAGTGAGACTGCCCTCTGGCGGGAGAAAAAGGCATCACCACAGGATGCCAAGGTGACAAGTCCATGCAATAAATGTCAAGTGCCATCAAGTTGGTTCTGACCCATAGCAATCCTGAACAGGGTTTCCGAGGCTGTAAATCTTTACGAGAGCAGAAAGCCTCATCTTTCTCCTGTGGAGCAGCTGGTAGCTTCGAACTGCTGACCTTGCAGTTCACAGCCCGATTCATAACCACGCTACCAGAGTTCCTTATGCAATAAATAAGATTGATTAAATATCTGCTGAGTTCAAGGTTCTGTTCTAGGGGTTGGGGCTACTGTAGGAAGTAAACTACAGAAATGTAGACACTCATGAAGCATCTAACTAGTGGAGGAATACAAAATAGAATCTAGATAAAGTACAACCTAGGCAACAGGTAATCAAAAAAAGGGCATAAGACGGTGGTGAATGTGGGGGAGGAAAAATCCAGCAGGGAAGGGGTCTAGAGGAGGGCTAGGGGGCGGGAGAGGTCTCACATTCATCTGGAATGTGTTGCTGGAGGAAGGCCTTACTGAGAAAATGTTTGAGCCAAGACCGGAGGAGGTTAGGGGGTGTGTATTTGAAGAACTCCTGAGGAGAGCTAGTGCTGAAGTCGTGGGCGGGGTTGGTAATAATTGGAACAGACTCAACAGCACTTAACAACAACATTGAACATAATTACAGACCCTTCCTGTCTAGGGTCAGTAGGGGCAGAAGGACAACCCAGTCCTTGCCATTGGGGTGAGTCTGACTCAGGACAGAGTAGAACTGCCCCAAGGCTGTAACTACAGAAGATGTTCTTCAGTGGAGAGGCTGGTAGGTTCTAACCACCAACCTTTTGGTTTATAGCTGACCCATTAGCCACTGCACCATCAGAGGCAAGCAAGGGAGACCCCAACTAAGCCAAACCCACTGCCATCGAGTTGATTCTGACTATAGTAACCCTCGCTCTGGTAGCGTAGTGGTTACGAATCGGGCTGTGAACGGCAAGGTCAGCAGTTCGAAGCTACCAGCTGTTCCGTGGGAGAAATATGAGGCTTTCTGCTTCTGTAAAGATTACAGCCTCGGAAACCCTGTACAGGGTCACTATGAGTTGGAACCAACTCCACAGCACATAACCACCACCACCACCATAGTAACCCTCTGTCTAGGACAAAGTAGAATCGCTCCTTAGGGTCTCCAAAATTGTATATCTTTATGGGAACAGCCAATCTCGTTTTTTGTCCCTGGAGTGCTTAGTGGGTTTGAACCGCCTATTTCATGGTTTGCAGTCCAGCGCCTAATCTACAGAGCCACCAGAGCTCCTTGAAAGGTAGACAGTGAGTGGTCTCCAAATCAGGCACCTGCCCTGAGGTGAATTTCTACACGACTGCAGTCTCGATTGTGATTTGCTCTGAAGTGAGCTTACAGCGTGCTCTGTGGGGCAACGTGGGTTGAGGGTGTAGACATTCAGGGAGCATACCTCCCACCTCAGACCTCAAGGTTGGACCAGCCATTTGGTTGCTCAGGAGACAGGGACACCCCGATATTCCTAGTGACCTGATTTGAAAACTGCCGGGAAAGATGTTTCTGAGGAGCGGCTGGTGAATTTGAACCGCTGACCTTACGGTTCAAACCGACCTTGAAGTCCAGCACATTAACCCACAGCGCCACACCAGAATAAGAGACACAAAGTACGACCTCCTCTTAGTTGGTGGCCTGCAAAAGCCACGCTTCCCTCGAAAGGACTCGCCCCTTCCCAGACACCCCTCCTACGTCCAAGTAAGCTGTTGTTGTTGTTAAGTGTCGTGGAGTCGGTTCCGACTCATAGCGACCCTGTATAGGGTTCCCGCGGAGCGGCTGGTGGGTTTGAATCGCTGACTTTGTGGTTAGCAGTCTAGTGCTTATCTGACCTTAAGGGATATAAATGTAGGCACCTTGCAAAGCCCGCTTTGCCCACAAGGGGGCGCTCCATGACTGACGATGGCTGTACCGAAGTGCTCAAGGAGTGCACGCCTATAGTTGACCCAGCGCCTAAAAGCAGAGTTCCACCAGGAAAGGAGTTCTGGTAGCGGTAGCGTAGTGGAGCGAACATACTACCAGCTGTTCCTCGGGAGACCGATGAGGCTTTCTGTTCTGTTCCCGTAAAGAGTTACAGTACATAACAACAACCAGGACATTGGAGCCCTGGTGTGGCGCTGTGGGCTAATGCTTTAGACTGCAAAGTCAGTTTGAACTGCAAGGTCGGTGGTTCAAGCTCACCAGCTGCTCCTTGGAAACCCTATACAGGGTCGCGGGATCGGATCGACTCAACGGCATTTAACAACAACAAATAGGACATTGAACTGCAGGTTGTGAAAACTGGACAAAAGCTTTCAGTGAGAAATACAAATTCTTAGGCCCACTTCACCTCTCTTACTTTGGACTATTGTCAGTAAGTGTCCCTGGAGAAGGGCATCATGCTTGGTAAAGTGGAGGGTCAGCAAAGAGGAAGACCCTCAAGGAGATGGACTGACACAGAGGAGGCAGTAATGGTCCCAAATCTGCCGACGAAGGTGAGACGGTACAGGAAGTATTTCATTGGTGAGACGGTACAGGACTGGGAAGTATTTCATTCCGTTGTGCATGGGGTTGTTATGAGCAGGAAGTAACTCCTTGGCACCTAACAACATCAGGCCCACTGCAGACAGACAGGAGCAGAAAAAGTGGGTGAGGCCCAGCAATTTGTGTTTTTTCGAAAGCCCTCTGCCACACATGGGCTCCCTATAAGTCAGAGTCAACAATAGGGTCATTGGTTTGGTCTGACTTCTTTAACTGGGTGATGGTTGAAGTAATTGTAATAAGTTTTTTCCTTTGCAGACTTCATTCTAATTATTTGTTAAAATTAAACTAATTAATTGATATTTGAGAAGATAATACATGTATGAGTCTGTAGGTATCCAATATAATGTTGTTGTTGTTGTTATGTGC